TGTAGCGGTTAACAATGACAGCAGCATCAGGAAGAAGGAACAGGAGAAGCTGTAGGGGTACCAAGAGTTGAGTGAAAGACTCGAAAAGATGTGGAGGGTGAAGGTAACAGTGGTAACCAGAGCACTTGGTCATTTTTACATCAAATTATTTCAACATTTTGTTTTAGATAAGTTTCATTTCTACAGCTCCAAATCACAACAAAATTACTGCTTTATACTGTAAAGACCCCACAGTAACAGAGAAAACCCCAACGTGCAAGAGCTGGGTGACAGGAATAAGTCAGGGAGGGGCGGCCTCTGCTGAAACAGAGTGAGGATGAAGGGGCGGGCAGGATATTTTACAATCAGCATCAAAGCACAACAAGAAATATCACTGATGCAGAGTTCACATGAGGAATGAAAAAACAAATCGCTCATTGGCATAAATCACATTTTATTTGAGATTTCTTAAACATCAGGCTTGGCCCATCATGGCAACATTAAATACCAGCAGCCCATCATACAGTTCAATCACAAAGATAAACCCAAAGTGTCCTTTGAAATGGACGAATGTGATAAAGAAATCAATACGAAGCAATTCTCTAAATATTTCAGTGATTATTTAATACACAAAAACACACCTGTGACTTTAACGGCTTCCTCTGCACTTAATTCAAACTGGAATTAAAGAAGTTCCCTGTGTGATCTCCACAACAACCGTTTCCCTGGTGGCACTAAAATAACTACAGCATAACATAATGAGTGTTGAACAACCCGGTCAGTGGTGAAACTTAGCAAACTGATTTACAGTTAAACAGGATTTAAGCAGAGGATGAAAGACGGAGGTTAAAATGTTCTTAAAGGTAAGTGAGGAGAAGGACAAGCATCAATATCACACTGTAAAATGTAAACAAACAGATTCACATAATTCTTATTGTATGAAAATATGATTTGACTGGCCGGAGTCGCAGAATGGCTTTAAGAATCTATCTCTTCACACGATGCTCCGTGACCGGACTAAACAAACGGTTTCCCTTTTAAACATGTAGTTACAGCTCCTAGTAAACATCAATAAGATAACTCATATGGATCAAGCAAAGAGCAAATTACATTGATTACCCAAACCTATAGATCAAACAAAGCTTGTGTCTGGAAACAGAAACGTGATTAAAAAGTTTGATATCGGTCATTGTGCCAAAAGGTCAAAATATCACAATAGCACAACATGTGTAGTCATGACTGGGAGCTTCACATAGACTAGCCCATTAAAATCAAGTGGAACCAGTGGCACCATTAGAGTCCACTTCTATTAAAAAAGAATATATCAAGAAACCAGTAATAAAAATGCTGCAAACAGATATGTTGAACACCCTGCACTCTCTCTACAAAGTGATATTGTCAAAGTGTGAACTTTACATTTGGAATAAACTTCAGTTCAGCAGCGACAATGTAAACAACACACTGAGAGGGCAGAGCGCTAGCAAACAAGGGGGAGGCGTGGCTTGGATGGAATGACGGCAGAAGTCCGTCAGCTGACGGCTGTAGGCTGGAAGGTAGTCGAGGTCATCTCAGCTGAAAGTGGAGCACAGACACAAACCCACACAGTCAGCTTCACCCACTGCTCTGATCTAGTTACTGGCATTACGGCTCGTTAGACGTGGAATACTATTAATGTAATAGTAATGTCTAAATACTATAAGCAAT